GAGCGCGAGGCCGAGGCGGCGAGGGCCCGGGCGGCCCGGGAGCTCGCCGCGGCCAAGGAGCAGGCCGAGGCCCTCCTGAGAGCGACGAGGGCGGAGGCGATCGCCAAGGCCAGGGCTGAACAGGACGCTGCCCTCCAGGCCGCCGCAGACGCCCGCGCGAAGGCCGAGGCGACGGTGGCGGAGGCGAACGCGATCCGGGCCAGGGCCGAGCAGGAGTCGAGGGGCAACGTCAGGGGGGACGATAGGCTCAGGTGTGGGGGGGGGGGGAGGGGCGCATCGACCCCCCACTCATTGGTCGCCGACGGGGGCCTGACAGCCCACCCCGCCCCGGAACGGGCGGTTTCGCCACGCCGGCTACAGGTCGACGGTTCCCCTTTATGGTCTGCCCCCCCCCCCCCCCCCCCCCCCCCCACGCGTATCGTTGCGCCTTGAGGAGGCCGCGGCCGCCAGGGAACAGCTGGCGAGCGCCAGCGCCCAGGCGCGGGCGGAACTGGGCGCCCTGCGAGCTGAGGCCGCGGCGACCGAGAGGGGGGGCGACGCCCAGGACCTCGAGGCGGACTGGGAGGTCCTCGGCTGCGCGCAAGAGTCCAGGCCTCCCCAATGGGGTCCGAGCAGATGGGGTCCGAGGATCGCGCCGCATCGGCAACGCATCGGCGATGCAGCTCGATCTGGAGCCCGCTACTCTCCTCGCAGGCAGCGCCGATGCCTCGCCGACGCATTGGCGTCGTCACCGCTGCATCGTCGATGTGGTGCAATCCTCCGACCCCAACTACTCGGACCTCATCTGGGGGGCCTCCGCAGTGTGTGACCCCTCGCGGGAGTGACCTCTGGGGCGGGCCCGCAGGCGTCCACCCCGCCCTGGCCGGCGCGCCTGGGTTTTCCGAGGTGGGGTGTCATCCATCATCACCGCCTGGGGGATTGGCCTTCGGGGTGCTCTGCAGTGCAGGCGGTGGATGATAGTGGATACGTTCGGCCCCCTGGGGCCCGAGCAGATCCATATCCGCCGCCCGCTGAGGTCCCAGGGCGTCGGTTCCCCGGCCGGAGGATGTGGACAGATCCTCGCCTCGCAGATTTGGGCCCCCGTGCGGCCTCCTACAGCTGGGCACCAAAGCGTCGACGACAGCCGTCGTCGTCGTCGTCGTCGTCGTCGTCGTCGCTGCTTCGTCGTTGTCGTCGTTGTCGTCGTTGTTGTTATTGCTGTTGTAACTGTTGTGGTTATGGTTGTGGTTGTTTTTGTGGTGGTTGTTGATGATGTTGATGTTGATGTTGTCGTTGTTGTTGTCGTTGTTGTTGTTGAACATTATTAATTCTAAAGAATAATTATTGTTGGGGCCCCTGGTGCACGGCCCCCCTGCGCCGCCTAGGCCGCAGCTACATTTTCATCAGTTTCGTGAGGAAGCCTCAGGTAATACGATGTCATCAAGATCCGGTTGTTTTGTTGTAATCCGTTTTCCCTTGCAAAAAACACTATTAAATGACATTTCTTGTTCTAATATAATCAAATTTCAAGAATCCCTTGCAAAAAATAAGGTAAAGTGGACATTCGCGCGCGCAAGACGAAATCCTTCCAAAAGCTTAGTGTTCGGAGCGATTTCAACATAAAAACATAAAAAAACAATGTTTTTTCAACAAAAAAATTGTCAAAATCTCATCCCGCGCGCTCTTGCGGATTCGTAGGAAACCCAACACTTTTTCAACATTTCTGTCAAACGGGCTTTTGCGAGCAACTTTTTTCGAACTTCTGCAACAACGGTTGCGCACCTGCCAGGGCCATCATCCCTGTCAAATAATACCATGCGGGACACATTCGTTGTTTCTTCGCGCGCGCACGCCGTCGTCGTCGGCCGCGGGGCCCTGAATAGTAGCCACGGTCGTCCGCATGCCACGAAGTGAAGTGTCCGAACGTCATAGGGCGGGAAGCTGGGTGTGGGTGGTGGCGAAGAGTCGTTTGGAAATTTGGTAGAGCTTGAACCGGCCCCCCACAAAGTGGGGGTATTGCCCGCCTCCTATGAAAACCCTGGCACTGGTGAGAACGGAGTGTCCCCACGTGCTAGTAATTGTTGTTGTTGTTGTTGTTGTTGTTGTTGTTGTTGTTGTTGTTGTTGAACATTATTTATTCTAAAGAATAATTATTGTTGGGCCCCCTGGTGCGCGCCCCCCCTGCGCCGCCTAGGCCGCAGCTACATTTTCATCATTTTCGTGAGGAAGCCTCAGAAAAGAGGGTGTGTACAGGATCCGGTTGTTTTGTTGTAATCCGCTTTCCCTTGCAAAAAACAATAGAAAATGACATTTCTTGTTCTAATATAATCAAATTTCAAGAATCCCTTGCAAAAATAAGGTAAAGTGGACATTCGCGCGCGCAAGACGAAATCCTTCCAAAACCTTAGTGTTCGCAGCGATTTTAACATAAAAACATAAAAAAACCAATGGTTTTTCAACAAAAAATTGTCAAGATCTCATCCCGCGCGCTCTTGCGGATTCGTAGGAAACCCAACACTTTTTAAACATTTCTGTCAAACGGGCTTTTGCGAGCAACTTTTTCGAACTTCTGCAACAACGGTTGCGCACCTGCCAGGGCCATCATCCCTGTCAAATAATACCATGCGGGACACATTCGTTTTTTCTTCGCGCGCGCACGCCGTCGTCGTCGGCCGCGGGGCCCTGAATAGTAGCCACGGTCGTCCGCATGCCACGAAGTGAAGTGTCCGAACGTCATAGGGCGGGAAGCTGGGTGTGGGTGGTGGCGAAGAGTCGTTTGGAAATTTGGTAGAGCTTGAACCGGCCCCCCACAAAGTGGGGGTATTGCCCGCCTCCTATGAAAACCCTGGCACTGGTGAGAACGGAGTGTCCCCACGTGCTAGTAATTGTTGTTGTTGTTGTTGTTGTTGTTGAACACTATTACTTCTAAAGAATTATTATTGTTGGACCCCCTGGTGCACGCCCCCCGCCCAAAACCTAGGCCGCAGCTACATTTTCATCATTTTTCTGCGAAAGCTTCAGAAAAGTGGATTACCCCCGGATCCGGTTTTTTGTTGACGCTCGTTTTCCCTTGCAAAAAACAATAGAAAATGAAAATTCTTGTTCTTAGTTGATCAAATTTCAAGAATCCCTTGCAAAAAATAAGGTAAAGTGGACATTCGCGCTCGCAAGACGAAATCCTTCCAAAACCTTAGGTTTCGTAGCGATTTTAACATAAAAACATCAAAAACCCAATGGTTTTTTAAGAAAAAATTGTCAAAATGTCCTTCCGCGCGCTCTTGCGGATTCATAGGAAACACACCACTTTTTAAACATTTCTGTCAAAAGGGTCTTTGCGTGCTACTTCTTCAGGTGCTTTGAACTTCTCCAACAACGGTTGCGCGCCTGCGAGGGCCACCATCCCTTGCAAAAAATGAGACGAAGTGCACATGCGCGCGGCCGCCGCGCGCGCATGTCGAAATCCTGCCAAACACAATGGGTTTCAATAATTTCAAGATGCGATGTTCAGAAAACATATGAAAACGCACTACTTTCTCATCCGAAAAATCTCGAAATCCATTCGCGGTCTCTTGATGAATCTTTAAAACCCAAGATGGCCCCAACAGGCGCGCAAGATGGCCCCAAGAGGCGTCCATGAGGCCCAAAGAGGCGCCCAAGATGGTCCAAAGAGGCTTCAAGAGGACTCCAAGAGGCCCCCAAGAGGTTCCAGAGAGGCTCCAAGGTGGCTCCAAGAGACCCCCAAGATGGCCCCAGGAGGCGTTCTAGAGGCCCCAAGAGTCCGCCGTGAGGGTCCAATAAGCCCCCAAGAGGCCCCAAGATGGTTCCAAGGAGCCCCCCAAAGGCTCTCAAGTGGACCCCAAACCGCGCCAGGAGGCTTCCCCCCTTCCCCAAGAGGACCCCAAGCGGCCCCAGGAAGGCCCCCGACTGCTGACGCACATATCCGTAGCCATCTCGGATCAAGGTATCGCCTGTGTTCTTGGATCATGGCTTTGACGGCGAAAGACCTTCACGAGCAGTATGGCCCTGAGCTGTCGCAGACTGGACCTGTTTGCGAAAGCAGGAGAAAGTATGGCACCCCTTTGTGTCCAGAGCCGCGCCGTCTGCGTTCTTCCTTTCTCGCTTCTCTCCTTTCCTCCTTGTCCTGCTCCTCCTCCCCCTCTTCCGCCTTGGAGCCGTATTGGAACTGTCGATGGCCATCTCCCTTTCTCCCTCGCATGTCTGCTTGTACATACGTATAATTTCAGAACTTACCGTGCATGCGATCGTTTACAACATGGTGGACCGTGCGTATGTCACGAACCTTGTATACATGTGTTTCTCTCCCTCCGTCTGGCTGTGCACGCGCGCGTTGGGCACTGAGAGTTAGGATCATAGCGCCATGAGTCTATGAGCAATGCATGCGTCATCCTTGGGACTGTATAACATCAGTGTAACACATGTACTTCTGTAATCGCATCCCCACGAATTTGCCCCAAAAATGTGACCAACTATCTTGGCACTGCGTACCATCTCACGTGTACCGTGTACCACATCATATGTAACAGATGTGATCAACCTCTGTGGGTGTGTACCCCACGCCAGTGTAGTAGCCAGGGTCGTCCGCACGCCACGAAGTGAAGTGTCCCAACGTCATAGGGCGGGAAGCTGGGTGTGGGTGGTCTCGAAGAGTCGTTTGGATATTTGGTAGAGCTTGAACGGCCCCCCCACGAAGTGGGGGTATTGGCTGGTGTCGCAAGAAAACCCTGGCACTGGGGAGAACACTGAGCGTTCGGGTAAAATGATTGTTGTTGTTGTTGGTGTTGTTGTTGTTGAACATTATTAATTCTAAAGAATAATTATTGTTGGGGCCCCTGGTGCGCGCCCCCCCCGCCGCGCCTAGGCCGCAGCCACATTTTCATCATTTGCGTGAGGAAGTCTCAGGCAAAACGGGGTATACCAGATCCGGTTGTGTTGTTACGATCGGTTTTCCCATGCAAAAAATAAGGCAAAGTGGACATTTCTTGTTCTAACAGGACCAAACTTCAAGAATCCCTTGCAAAAAATGACACGAAGTGCACATTCGCGCGCGCAAGACGAAATCCTTCCAAAACCTTAGTCTTCGTAGCGATTTTCACATAAAAACATGAAAAACCCAATGGTTTTTCAAAAAAAGGGTTTCAAAAATTCACCCCGCGCGCTCTTGCGGATTTCTTAGGAAACCCAATACTTTTTCAACATTTCTGTCAAACGGGCTCTTGCGAGCAACTTTTTCACGTGCTTCGAACTTTTGCAACAAAGGTTGCGCGCCTGCCAGGGCCATCATCCCTGTCAAATAATACTATGTGGGATACATTCGTTTTTTTCTTCGCGCGCGCACGCCGAAATCTTCAAAAATCATTGGGTTTCTTAGGAATTTTAGCACCGCGCAACATAAAATCATACGAATCGCACCGTAGGCTCTCGAAAAACATCTGTACGAATTTTCAAAATTTCTACCCGCGCGCGCTGTCCGAATCCTTAAAAACCAATGGTTTTTCAACATTTATGTTATAGAGCTCGCGCGAGCTGTTTTCGCAAGCTCTTTCAACGGCGTTCGCGCGCCTGCCAGGGGCCACAATCCCTTGCAAAAAATATCATGCGGGACACATGCGCGCGTCGTCGCGTCGTCGTTGTCGGCATGGTACCACAACAAGTCAGTGTGTCACCACGTCATCGAACAAAATCGCTGATCACTGTCACATCCGTAGCCATCTCGGATCAAGGTATCGCCTGTGTTCTTGGATGGGTCATGGCTTTGTCGGCGAAAGCCCTTGACGAGCAGTATGGCCCAGAGCTGTCGCGGCCTCCCTTGGCCGACTGCGGCAGCCCGTTTTATTTGCATCAGGCGCTCGTTGCAAAGGGTATCCAGGTCAGTCACCAGGCGTGCAAGGTTTGGTGGGTCAAGTATCGGGTTGTGCCTGGCAAGGTCAGTATTTCTAGCGCCAAGGAGCTGGAGGAGCAGCACGGCTCTGCCATCCGCCATCTGGGCATCGAGTATAATACAGCTTTCAAATTATGTGGGGCGCTCCGACGGTTGGATCCACCACTGTATGTGTCAAATCCGGTCGCAACGGCGTGGCTACTGCAGTATTCTTCCAAAGAGACGCTTGTCATAGTGCAGAACGCTGGCCATTTGGAGACCTGGTATGGAGAACGTATTCGCACAGACGTGCCCGAGGGGACTACTGACGGGGCCGTCTTGAAGCAGTGGCTCCTGGTGTATTGCTGCCAGGAGCGCAGCTTGCAGTATTGCGCCCGATGCGTGCCATTAGAGACAGGCGTATGCCAGAAGATGATGAGCACAAAGACTCGTCTCTTTAGTATGTCTCCAGAGCACGTATGTGTCCAGAGCCGCCGCGCCTTGTCCTGCTCCTCCTCCTCCTCCTCCTCCTCCTCCTCCTCCTCCTCCGGCGGGGGGCGTGAGGATCCGGCGTCGCTGACAACCGTCGGGACAACCATCGGGGCCACCATCGGAACAACCATCGGGACAACCATGGGGACAACCATCGGGACAACGATCGGGACAACCACAACCATCAGGACAACCATCGGGACAACCATCGGGGCAACCATCGGGACAACGATCGGGGCAACCATCGGGACAACCATCGGGAGAACCATCGGAACAACAATCGGGACAATCATCGGGACAATCGTCGCGACAACCATCGGGACAACCACAACCATCAGGACCTCCAACCAGAGAGAGCTAGTCACGTGTATTTCGTAGACGAATGAGCCAGTATTGCACATTGAGGCCGGAACGACAACCGCAGAACAAGAATGAGCACGTATCGTCTCACAACAACGGAAACAAGTCCTGTGGTATGCTGGCGCCACGCACGTGGTATCACTCAAAATAAGTGTCTTCGCTTGTGTGGTACAGAAACGGAAAAACGTCGGAAAACGGTACAGGTGTCCAGTGTTGGAACAGGGGGAAAAGTCGTATACTAAGCTAGCTTCCACAAAATGTTACCACAACAAGTCACTGTACCCATGCGCCAGTGTAGTAGCCAAGGTCGTCCGCAGGCCACGAAGTGAAGTGTCCGAACGTCATGGGGCGGGAAGCTGGGTGTGGGTGGTGGCGAAGAGTCGTTTGGAAACTTGGTAGAGCTTGAACCGGCCCCCCCACAAAGTGGGGGTATTGCCCGCCTCCTATGAAAACCTTGGCACTGGTGAGAACGGAGTGTCCCCAGTCTTAAATGATTGTTGTTGTTGTTGTTCGTATTGTTATTTGTGTTGTCATTGTTGCTGTTGTTGTTGCTGCATATGCTGTTGTTGTTGTGTTGTTGTTGTTGTTGTTGTTGTTGTTGTTGTTGGTGTTGTTGTTGTTGTTGTGTTTTGCTGTTGTGGTTGTGGTTATGGTTGTGGTTGTGGTTGTGGTTGTCGTCGTCGTCGTCGTCGTTGTTGTTGTTGTTGTTGCTGCTGTTGTTGTTGTTGTCGTTGTTGTTGTTGTTGTTGTTGTTGGTGTTGGTGTTGTCGTCGTCGTCGTCGTCGTCGTCG